GGAAAGCAATATGGCGATTCCTTAGAAAGCTGGAAATGGAGACATCATTTGACCCAGTTAGATATTACTAGGTAGGTATCCTAGAGAGGTGAGAGCCAGGACAGGAACAGATATACACATAGTCTTATCCATTGCAGCGCTATTTACAATAGCAAAAGGATGGAAACAAACTATGTGCTCATCAGCAGAAGAGTGGATGACCAAACTATGGTACATACACATAATGGAATGCTATGTAGCACTAAAGAATAATGTAGAGTCTGCAAAACACCACCTAATATGGATGAACTTGGAGGACATTATGCTGAGTGAAATAAGTCAATCACAGAGACAAATATAGTATTAGTTTGTTGTTGTAGAGGTTCAAGGAAAGGTTATATATGGAGGGAAACTTTCTTTATTAGTTGCCAGGGGTGGGAGGGGAGGGAAGGGAACACTGCAAACAAACGCATTGACTCATGTCACTTAATTATGTGTATTTTACTGTATGTAATTATATTTAAAAAAATAGTAATTATGCATTAAGGAAACATAAATTAAAACCACAGTGAAATACAATACACACCTATTAAACAAACAACAACAACAAAAAAAAACCAAATTCACTGCCATTGAGTCAATTCCGACTTATGGCAACCCCTTTGCGTTTCTGAGGCAGTAAATCATTACAGAAGTAGATGGCCCAGTCTTCCTTCCGCAGAGTGGCTGGTGGGTTTGAATCGCCATCCTTCTGGTTAGCAGTCAAATGCCTTAGGCGCTATGCCACCAGAGCTCTTTGTTGTTGTTATGTGCCGTCGAGTTGGACCTGACTCATAGTGACCCCTCCTTGGGTTTCTGAGGCAGTATCACTACGAAGTAGATTGCCTAACCTTCCATCTGAGGAGTGCCTGGTGGGTTTGAACTGCCAGCCTTCTGGTTAGCAGTCAAGTGCCTTAGGCACTATGCTACCAGAGCTCCTTAGAATGTCTAAAATTGAAAAGACTCATCATACCAAGAGTGGTGACACTGTGGAGTAATTGGAAACACTGCTGGAAGGAATATAAAATGGTAGAATCACTTTAGAAGAAGTTTTGCAGCTGAGGCGGGGCAAGATGGCAGACTAGGCAGAAGGATTGCACAGACCCTCTTCAACAAAGAAAAGGGAAACCAATTAACACAGACACAGAAGATAATCTTGG